GTGACTTTTCTCAAGGTACAAAAATCATTAAATAGGCTGGTGGAGTGCTCGAGTGGTAGAGCGTCTGCTTAGCAAGCATCGAAACTTTGAGTTCAAACCCTCCATATCATCTAAAAAAAAAAAAGAAAAGAAAAAACGAGAGAGGAAGAAAAGAAAAAATCATTCAACAAACAATAGGCAGATAATCATGTCATATTTGCTGACTAATATTAACCAATCTACTTTATAATGATGAAATTCGGACTTTTAAATAGGGAGCAAACTATATTCAAGAGACAAAGAAGTGACCATGATTTGGGGTTTAGCTTTAGACATGTTGTAATAAGTGAATGATCCACAAAGGATAAACCTTTACAGTGGTGGAATTAATAGAGCAAGCATTTTAAAAGACAACTATTTTAACTTACTATTTTCTTGGGGATTTTATGATTCTATTGACATCAGTTCACCTTTTTACTGTGTGATAAACAGGTAACATTTGATTATCTTAAGCTTTCTGACTTTAGAGACTGTTTTTATCAACATAAATATGAAAAATTTAGCCTCAGACAAATAGGAAACTTTCATACCTCTGCTTTATAGAATGCCTAGTAGATGCCAAACGTTTTTGTAGGTTAATGTACAAAATTAGAAATCTGTTTCAACTAAAGTATTTTCGCAAGTATACAAAGAATAGGACATTCTATGCAAATGAGAGACATCATTCCATACTAATATCTGTTGCCACCTTCCTGCAACATGGAGACACCATTTCCAAGATTAGAAACAACTGCAAAGAGAAACAAAAGAGCAATCTCTGCAAATATGGAATGACATTCTGTAATGCTTTTCAAATGGTGTCCCCTTTCCTCTATTGTCCTGGTGCCTTCAATATGGGTCTTTATTTCTTACAGTTGCATAAGCTCACCATTCTTGCTTTTTTTGTGAATGTAGTGATCCAACATTCCAATAAAAGTTTTAGTTCTTTTATTTATGCAAGACACTGTGATTTACCATGTTTTAAGAAATAAATTAAATACATATATTTTTTGAAGCATATTGCAAGAAAAATTTCAACATTTAATAATAGTTTTGGTGAAGGGCTTTTTTCTTCAACAATAAACCATTTATTTATGAAAGAAGGGAATTAAGTGGCAAGAACCAGATTAATTAGGGCAGTCAGTGTAGAACTTTCATATCAGTTGTTGCCTGGGACTGCCAAGGGGATTGCTCCAAGTCCCTTATGTAAAATGGTGGTAGGTAATTTTGGCCTAGAACCTTCCACACCATTTGTATGCTTTAAAATCCTCTCTAGATCACTTGTGATACCTAATACTAAGCAAGTGCTGGGATGGGGGTGTACCCGAGGGGTAGTGTGCTTACCTAACAAATCAAGGTCCTGGCTCAAATCCCTAGTACCCCACCAAAAAAAACTAAGTTGCTATATAAATGTTTGTTTACTTTTACTTCATTTATATTATTTTTTATTAATGCATTGTGTTATTTTTTTCTTCATTTTTTACCATGTTTTCCATCCATGGGTGGGTTGATAAATGCGGATATAGAGGATTCAACTGTTTATATCTGTTTTAGGAAGTGTTTTCTTGAACAATGTTATTTTTAATATTCTAATTAGAGGTTTGGAGGTCCTGCAGTCATGAATGTAGACAGAAGCCCGTAGGTTAAATAATTGGCAAGATGAAAGGTAAAGATGAGATATTTTGTATGCAAATAATCTACAAATTGATTCCTTTTAATTCAGGCTCATATAATGAGTGTGGGCCATATTTTGGTTGCTTCTTAAATCTTCAAGTTAATGTAACTTAATTAATTCCTTAGGAATGCAACTGGGCTTCTTTTTGCCATGTGAGGCAAGCACTCTACCTCTAAGCTATACCTCCAATCCTTTGCATTTTAAAAAATTGATGCTCCAAAATTGGGTCTTAGAGAGCCACTTAAAGATGTATTGAGTATATTTTATTCTAAGTTTATTCACATATTTGACTTTTTGAGATTGCCTTTTAATTTCCTTGTATATATTGTGTCTTCTTTCACACTTTATTTTTTTATATCCTAGTGATTAAGGAATTTGTATTTTCAAGTTCCCCAAATCATTAGCTGAGATAAAAGTAAGTGTGGGTAAACACATATTTTACTCATTTAGTCATAAATATTTATTGAGTGCTTATCTGTCAGGCATGTGCCTCATCTTTGCACATCCATCAGTGATACCAAATTAACTGGCAGTCTTTCTGTTCATGAAAATCTAAGCTAGTGGGGAGACAGGGATAATCAAGATACTCACAGGATTATAAGCAAGCATGCAGTCCAGCGGTGATCTGCTGCCCATGAGGCAAATTTAAACGGAGGAAGCTAAGGACATCCATGAGGAGGCCTTGCATGGGAGCAGTATCTTTCATTTGAGAGCAAAAGAAAAGTCAGTTGAGACTGAAGCCAACCTTGAGATGGGAAGTTTATCCTTTCATTAATCTGCTGGGAACCAATGCAATTAACAAGGTCCATCAGGGTAAGAAGAGGGGAAGCAGAGTGAGAGATTCAGACAATGGGATTCCTGAGAGGGACTCAGCCTAGCATCACTGACTTTACAGATAAAAGGAGGCAACCACTATCCAAGGAATGCCTGGAACCTTCTAGAAGCTTGAGAAGGCAAGAAAAATTCAGGATGGAATTCAGCCGCAAGTACACTTGATTTTAAACGCCCACTGGAGACCCATTTCTGACCTCTGACCTCCAGAAGAGACACATTTATGTGATTCTAAGAACATAGTATTTGCAGTGATTTGTCACTATCTCTGTTAGACAGCAAGTACATTCACTCTTGATTTAAAATACCTTCAACGTCTATTTCATTGACGCTTTATTCTATGTGGTAAGCTTTCAATAGGAACTGAAGGTCAGTAAGTTCCAGACTTATTTCTCAGGCCCATGTTCAACAGAAGTTGTGTAAGTGAGCACCATGGTTTCTTCCCCATTCCCTGAATGTCAACAGGGCAACCACATAACGGGCAAAAAATCACCCGAGTATAGTTTTTAGAAATGATGATTTTGAAAAAAGTCTGCCAAATGGTATACAATGTTGGGAATGCTGGCATTAGGGAGTAGATCTAGTGCGACTAGGAATTTGGGCCTCAGCCCCAAGTGGCTTTCAAACCAGGAATTAGTGGAATTATTCATGGAGGTAACATAAAGAGAGAAGAGAAAGTCCACAAGGAGCAATGAAAGTGGAGGGAAGAGATGAAGCCCAAAAGGAATATCCTATGTGTCATTCTGATGCTCCCTCTAAGGAAAAATAACTGCAAATTGTGAAACAACGTGAGGCATCCCTATTTGTCCTGTAATTAATCCTCTAAATTTACTATTGTCCACATGATGAATATGTTATTTGCGTCTTTTGTTTTATCACTTGTCTAGTTCCATTAACTTGGTAAAGATTCAGAGAGAGATACTTCTGTGTGGTTATTATACTAATATTGAAATTAAAGAATATAAAATCCACTAATTGATTTTGACTGCATTCTGTATATAATAATGCTATGTCTTTAAAAAAGAAAAACCTCGATGTGGTGAATGTTAAAAATTCAACCCCGCTAATCGATTTTCCCTTTTAACTAAGTGTCATGGTGACCACTTTATATCTGTTTACTTTCTCAGATTTAAAGGTTTCTTCCTTTTCTGGTTCCAAAATTGCCAAAGCAACGTTCCCACTAGATTCAACCCAATTCATCAAAGAGTTTCGCCCTCTGTAAACGCTTCATCAAACACTTGTGTGCAAAGTTGGGGAAAGATGTTAACAACAAGCAAAAGTGGGGCCCATTTCACACGCCTTGGACAGGCAGGGTGATTAAAACTTTGAACCTGGTCAAAGATGTCCTTTCCACACTCAGTGAATTGTTTGCTGTGGGTTTCTCTATTTTTTTTTATTGTCCAAGGAAAGGGGAATATACAGCAAATATGCTGGCTCCACCTGGGAATGAAAATGTATAAAAGTTCAGTTGTTCTGCCTGTCTTTGAGAATACCAAGTCACAATTTCATGCAGGGATCACGGATAGGGAGATCCACGAATGTACTTCCTTTGCATCCTTCTAACAAGAGAATGGAAAAAGCCATCTATCCTGATTCTTCTGATAATGGAACTTTGTTATGGCACATCTTTAAGAAAGAGAATTCTTCATTCTTCATGTTTGAAGAAAACATTTGATCTTGTATGAGTTCAGCAGCTTATTTCATCTTTATCAAAAAATTAGAATCGAGGCACTTCTCTCTTATAACAGGAAATATAAGAGCTGCCTTGGGTATGTGGTTGCCTCTCTTGTTTAAAATAAGAATGAAGAACAACTTATCTTTGCTATTTGCCTTGCTAATTATCTTTTTTATTCTACTCAGTGTATATATTTCAATATAGGATTTTCCTTTGGCAATATATTATCTATTTTCCTCTTATTAACTAAATAATTAAAGAAATTATTACTGAATCTGTATGTTCCTTAGGCTCACCTATGCATATTTTGATCACCTGTACAATATAATTTCATTCTTTCTGCTATACTTTGGAACTGAAATGCCCTTCCCCACCAAGGCCCTGTGTTGAAGGCTTGTTTCCTCTCCTGTGTCACTATTGGGAGATTGTGGAAGCTGTAAGAGGTGGAGCCAGCGGGAGAAATTCAGGACTTGGGAGTATCTTTGAGGAGAAATCTGGATGTGGTCCCTTTCTGTCATATCTTTTTACATTCTGGCCATGAAGTATGTGAGGTTTGTTCTAACTCAACGCTCCTTGGCTTGATGCTATCCCACACATAGGCCTTACCTTAAAGCAATATGTCTGCTTTTAAGTTCCAAATCATAGACTGAAACCTCCAAAAAACCATCAGCAGAAACAAACCTTTTCCTTATCTACCTTTATTATCTCAGTATTTATTACAATAACAAAATTCTGACTAAACACACATCACAATGGAATGGAACTTCCAGCTGTTTTTGTTTGTGTGTTTTGATATTATATGATCCCAGTGTCAACCGATACCAATGTGGCAGTGGTTTCCCCGAAGTATGTGCCCACAACAACTCTGGATTGAAGACATCATCTGGGCCTACCCATGTAAGAAAATGATTGTGATTAGTTTGAATCCTAAGTAGCTTCTAGATGCAAGTTCATCCTGTGTAGTTTGAAGGAGGTCACGATGGATAACTCATTCTCACACATTTGTTGTTAAGTAATGGCCCAATGAAAGCGGCGAATCTACTGGATCATCTTAATTCATTCATTCTTCATCCTGTTCATGATCACAACTTTGAGAGTTTATTCTGTGGACAACACAGAACAATTTATGTGTAATCTATCAGGACAGTTTTTTTTTTTGATGGTACTGGAGTTTGAACTCAGAGGCTTCAAGCTTGCAAAACGGTGCTCTAACTGCTTGAGCCTACCACCTCCAAGTCAATTTTGCTCTGGTTATTTTTGGGAGATGGATCTTGGCAAGAAATGCCCAGACTGGCTTTTGAACAGTGATCCTTCCTGATCTTAGCCTCCCAAGTAGCTAGGATTTAGGCGTGAGCCACTGGCACCTGCTGAAGACACTTTTAAAATCTGCAAAAAACCTGGCGCTAAAGGTAACACGAGTATTTTCATTTGTCGCATGTCATTAAAATCCTTTTCTTCTTGACACTTTCCTAATGCAATAAGTACATTAATTTTTTGGAATCCTATCTGACACATAAATTTATAATAGTGGGATAAAACATTACTGACATTCAGAAATAACAACTTTCCTTTTTAAAGTGCATTTTACTTGCTTAATCCAAACTCATCAGTGTTATTCTTTTTAATTTCCGTTCCTTCCCAAAATTTGTTGGGCCTTCAATTTAAAAAATGAGGCGACATGCTACAAAAATGATGATCTATTTGAAAAGTACAGACAGAACGAAATTAAGCAGCAGGCTTTATTTAACTTTTTGTGAGTGAGGGGTCCAAGCTGTTATTTTGGTTTTTACTTATACATGCCTTGGGGACCCCTATAGAATTTTGCTGATATTTTTGTGCTATCCAGTCCCAGACTTATCATCTTCAGGAATTCTGGAAAATGATTAGTAACTATTTACCAAGGCATATAATGTATCTAGTAAGAAATAAGAAAAATCCTACTGTAAAGCATGCTTCCCAAGGGCTTAAGAAATAGTCTGTTTTCAATTTTAAGCATCATATATGTCACTAATTTGCTTTCATGCTCAATGGGAGCATTCCACTACTTTACTATTGCTACTTTCCTTGCCTAGGAAACGCATGTTTGAAATACCTGTGGGCAGAGTCTTATTGAACTCCCCCTTGATTCCAGTCCACTTCCATAAGTAGTTACAAATCGCTTCTAAAGAAAAAGCAACTCAGACTCCAAAAAGACCACCAGTCATCGGGGGTCTGGATTTGAGTTGCTGCTGTTCATTTTTGTGCTAATTGGGGCCAAATTGGGGTTTACCAGTTTCCTTTCTTCTTCTAGGACTGAGAGGCAACATCTAGGCATCTTCTTGGTACATTCATCCCATCCAGACCTGCAGGGACTCACACAATCCAGGAAAGGACTTGAGCCTCCGTTTTTATTTAAATTCTTTTTGTCATATTCTCCTTCCAACCCTATTGCTTGTCTGGTAAGGACCCCTGTCCTTGCCCCAAAGAGTACCAAGCAAAGATATTCCTATATGTATTTTTAAACATATAAATGAAGATTTGGGTAAACATTCAAAAACAGAATGGGCAAGCCTAACTAATAGCCAAATATAAATGAAACAGTTTGCAATTGTTATGACAACAAAAGGCATTCCTTATATATTGGTTGTGTAACTAAGGCTCTGACTTTGCACAGTTTTTCCTGTTCTTATATTTATATTTAGTTTATAACATTATGGGCAGGAGGCATACAAAACTTCCAAAAAAGGAAAAACACATTAGTGAAGAATATAATTTTTTAATAGAAAAACTTATGTATGAAACTGCTAAGGTTTTTTAAATGAGCAAAAATCGATTTTGGTATGTATAGCTTTATTCTGCCCAGCCACATACAAAAATTGCTTGTTGGCAAGCATTAGAAGTCATTTCTTATTGGCAAGAACCATTATAGAATGTTGAATTCTATAGGAATATATCTATCTAAACCCTGGGAGGATCTCACAGTTGTATTAATTAAATGAGGAACAGGTGTACTTTGTTAACTTTTTATAATGCCATATTGCACATGCTTCATGTCATAGGAGAAAACATCCTTGTGGGATATGATTTTTAAACTCCTGCTGATTTTTTAAATCCTTAATGAGAATTATTACTTATTGTTAGGCATATTCTCTTTCTCTCAACCCTCCAGGAAAAACTTACATAATTTTCAAGACCTGTCATTTTCCTGCAAATATAAGGTGACTGTCCAACCAATACTGCCGAGGTCATTCAACGGCAGAAACCGTTTTTCTTTACTACTCTCCATGCTCCTCAATTGAAGGGGAAAAGCCATAAGCATGTTTTTTAGTTGTCCTGTCATGCAGGTATGTTTTTGACTTGAGCACTTCATGCCTAGGTCTTATTGCTAGCAGCACCTTGAAAGATTTTTCCAAACTATTTTAACAAGACCCAAAAAATCCCCAAAGTTCCCGGCTGTTTCTAAATTGCTATAATGGCTTCAGTTTTGGGGTGGGATATAGAAATATATAATACGTTATTTTTTAAATTTACAGCTTGGAAATGGTGTCCTTTGCCCACCATATTAGTCCTGTAGAAATGAGGCCAAATTAATTAGGTACAGGCTTGCATTTTGAAGTACTTTGAAAGTAAATTATTTCACATTATTTTTCCACCCTTTTTTGTGTGGAGTTCTCTTCACATGCAGTCCTCCTCCAAGCTCCTTCCCATCCACATCCACACCTATATAACTTCAGTATATGCCCTTCTCAACTGTACTCATTGCCATTTGCAAAACAATGGCTAAGTCTTGCTAGTGACTAAAAGTGATTCATTTCATCCCCAGAGCAGAGTTTCTAAAATAAACCCTCAAGGGTATGAAGCATTACACAAACAGTTGAACTGATAGGACTTAACATGTTCCTCATATGTCAAAGGGATGATGAATACTCTGAGCCCATGCTGAAAGAAACTGAGGTCAGATTTGCTCCCCCTTCCATAGATGGCTTCCCTAAAATGAAGATAAAGTAGATCCCATAGCTTAACTCTGATTTCCCTTTTTGCATTGCCTCAGGTCATAGTCCTTTCCAAGTGCTGCGCCAAACGAGAACCTTTCTGCTTCATTCATCATCCAAGATGTTAACATAAACGGCCACTTTTCTTGGAAGATGACCAAGGCAATCTCTCACCCAGCCATGACTGGCTTCCAAGTGAACTTGGCTAGGTCACTACAGAGAGCAGACAGAACAGTTTTTGCCCACAGCATTATTTCCAGTCACAGATAACTGCTTCTGTATGTACCACTTCATTCCCTTGGTGTCTTGTATATTGTATCCATCCCTTCACTTTCAGTGAACTGTCAGACGATGTGCATTTTAGGCCAAATCTGTAATACTCTGCTGTTCAGTCTCATCTTCTGAAACTTCTTCCCCCTGAGTGTTATCATTTTGTAAGCATTAACACATTGCAAGTCTTTGGTGGATAGTTAAGCAAGTAGTACAAACTATCAATCAGTTGCATTTTGACCTAGTAGAGCCAGCCCGATGGACTTTCCTGTCTACCTATTGCAAGAGATTAGCCCATTTTTCTTCAGTCTTTGCTACCCATGTCCCTCTGTTCTAACTGGACGCATGTTTTAAGTGTTGAATTGGGGGAAAAAACTCAAAAAGCTTGTTATTTGTCTTTCTTTTCCCCCCTTCAAATTTGGCCATGAGCCCAATAATTAGTTGGACTGTCTTCCAAAGCCACTTAATCTTGGCTTGAAAAAAAAAATCAACCTGTGTGGGGCTTTTTACCCTTTCTGAAAACCTTCTAAGAATTCCAATTCTTGCTTCAAAATCTGAAAAGAAAAAAAGAAAAAAGAGCCTTAAATCTGGAAGGAAAAGTTTCCATGCAATGAGAAAGTAATTATTTTATGAATATTATCTGGTTTTACTGATTTTTAAGAGAATGTGTTGGAATAAAAGTAAACATTTTTCAGTTAGGGCCTTGGCAAGATAAGGTTGTGTTTTTAAGGAAAATAGTTGCTCATCTCAGTAAATTTGGAATATCAGAATTCACACACAAGATGTGCAGCTTTAAACCATGGGAAATCCATGTTAGGAATTTTTTAAAAAGAAAAGAGAAGATTGAAATCCTAGGAGTGAGCTTGGAGAACTTGGCTCCTTGGGCAATTTTAGATTCTTCCAAGCATCCCTGGTTGGCCAAAGATTGAGCTAGGTGGCTAGACAAGATATGGCAGAGAACTCTGTTGAAAAATAGAACAGAACGGTCTATGATTTTCACTGTGGCTTTATTATAAACATGCTTGTTTTTATAATATTCTTATCATGGACTATGGTTCATTTATAAGAAGTTCATTCATTGACATCTCATTTTGTTCTCTCAGGATCATTATGTCCTAACCAGTGCCCAATCTGAGGCCATCCACCCTTTATCGGCTGGAAGTAAAGTGCTGACCAGCAGGGAGTGGGGAAGGGCAGCCAACCATCAAACATTTCCGACGCCCCGACCTCCACCCTCTTCTGCCACAAGTTGAGTAGCATGTCCAGGTATTAGCTGTTTGGGTCAGGTGGTTATGGCTAGAGAATAAGTCAGTAGTTTAAAATGAAAATGAATATCTTAATTGCAAGCAGATGTTCTGTGAAATAAGAATTTCCTTAATCTAAACATGAACCTTTCTTATTCCACATTTTTTATCTACCTACTGGATTTTAATTCTAGATACCTTGTATCAAACATTGATTGATAAAACCATTGGTTCTAGGCTGGAGGTGTGGGCTCAAAATGGTTAGAGTACTGCTTTGCAAGCACAGAAGGCCTGAGTTCAAAACCAGAAAAACCATGGTCTTTTTTTGGGGGACTTTCTCTCTCCCTCTCTCCCTCATTTTTCACTTTTTTCTTTTCTTTTCTCCTCCTTTTTTGATGCCCTTCATTTCTCCCTCCCTCCTTTGTTCTTCCCTTCCTCTCCCTCCCCTCCCTTTCCTTTCTCCCTTCCTTGGATTTATTTTCAACACAGTACATGTTTTTCCTTGTCTTTTAAACCACAATTGAATATGGATAAATCTAATGTCATATATAGTCTGAGTTTTTAAATCTTACAAGTTTATAAAAATTTTTGTAACTAGGAATATATTCATTGTACAGGGGGGATTCCTAGTGACAATTCTGGATTAGGCTTATATTGTACATTATTTACATTGCCACCATTGTCTCTACCTCATTTCCTCACAACTGCCCCACTTATAAGCAATTGCACAGAGGTCTCTTTGTTCTCTTTCATATAGGTATATGAAGTGGCAATTAACCAGTATACCCGTGCCTTAATCCCTTCATGTCACACTTCCGTCCCTCTCACGATACCTGCACACTGTAACTATTTTATCGTCCCTGTCTTTCATTCTTAATATTTAAGTTGAAATGTTCAACAGGAATTTCCCATATATCCGCACTGTGGGTCTAACTTTGGTCATTTCAACCCTTTCCATTGCTCTCCTTTACCCCTTTAACTTTCCACTCTCCATTTTTTCAAGCAGCTTTTCAATATCCATCCTTGTATCCTCTCCCTTCACAGATGTTTTTATGATATTACTGATGCTCTATCATTCCTCTTTTTCCTTTCCCTCCTGTTCCTGCGTTCATAGAAGTAAGTTTCTACCTGTCAACAAACATGTTCTAATCCATCTGAGTTTATATATGAAATCATGCTTGTTTTTGTGTAAATGTTGCTTATCTTTTTGGGAATCTATCTTCCACGTATGAGAGAAAACCATGTAGTCTTCCAATCTTCTGAGCCTGGTTACTTCACTTAACATGATTGTCTCCAGTTTTATCCATTTACCTTCCAAAATAAGATGTCATTATTTTACTTATCGGCTGAGTAGAACTCCATTGTTGTACTATATTTATCACATTTTCTGATCCCATTTATCAGTTTGGTAGGGCATCTGGGCTGTTTCAAAGCTGGGCTTATTGTGAACAGCTGCAATGCACATCAGTGTATAGTGTCTCTTTGTATCCGGCAATTATGTTTTTTGAGTAGATCCGAAGGAGTGGTATCGCTAGATCAATGACAGTTGATCTTTAACTTTTTGAAGGATCTCCATACTGCTTTCCATAGTTTGGTTTTTAATTACAATTTTTCAAATGGACAGCATAGGAAATGATGTTTTGCTAAGGGTGCTTATTTCCGCTTATTAAAGATTTTGCTGTCCATATAGCATAATTTTCCTATATACCCGCAGTATATCTACTTGACTTGTTTGCCAATTCAAATAGAATTGAAGGGAAAAAATGGTCACTTACTACAGAGCCTCTGGTTGACTTTCCATAATGTGGTTTCTGTTTTCATTTTAGTTTCTTTTAGAGCTTAAATTTAAAAGCAATGGTCTAAAGATTTTTTTGTAGAATTAAGTTGGATGTTACATGCTTTGTAATTGCAGCTATGTGGGAGACATAGTGTATGAAGAATCATGGTCAGGCCAGCCAGTGGGGGGTGGAGGGATAAGGGGGGTTGGGCATTGCAAGACACTAGTTAAAGGTCAAGTTCAGTGTAGTAACAGAGAGATCGAGATGAATTTAAGCTTGGGTTTTTAACTTTGACTATAAATAAAGCCTTCATAGCCTGTTGTCCTTATAATATGCAGACAAAACAAAACTATCACAAACATAGAGTTTTGACACGGCGCTTTACATTTGAAAGAGTTTGTGTAGATGGTTTTTACTGGAAATTTCTATTTCCTCCATTGAAATTGTTTAATACTTTGTTAATTAAAACATTTTTGGAGGAAATAAAAGGATTGCGGTTTGGCTGAACAGATGGTGAGCTTTTAGAAACGAAGTGTATTTTCCTCTCTTATTTTGTGATTGGGGAAGGATTAATAAAGCAAAGAGGAAACTTGGGTAAAGGAGCAGACAGAAAAAACAGAGAAAAAGGAATGGACAAATTGTTTGCACTTGAGATTTAGAATGGACTATCAATTTCCTATAGGAGGAGGGAACGTTAGCTGGGGTGAATGCTATCACTACAAGGTAAATGTATTTCCCAGTATCTATTCCGTATTGCATAAAGTTAATGTGACTCATATGTTTTGTCAGCTTCTTAGGATTCCCATCTTAAGCATCACCACTCTCATATTAGCAAGACTTCCTTTTCAGAAAGATACTAACTGCTCAAAGGTGTTTTAAGCATTGCATGGATATGCAAGCTTACTGAACTTCAGCAACTAGACATCATAATTGTCGAAGCAATGGATACTCTGAGACCTTTTTCTCCCGTGTAATTTAGGGCAAGTAAGGACTTCTGTCAGTCTACAGTAGCATTTGGGAAATAAGTGACTCATAGTCTCTAAGTAAAGATGGACATGCAGTTCCCCTAGTAAAATGGAGAACATGAAGAACAGCTTTAATTTGGACTCTGAGTTTTGTTTTCCATATATGGTTTTGCTAATCTCTTATTGAATTGCTGCAGAACTGAGATTCCCTAAATTTGGATTGGCAAAGTCTCAAAAAGTAGTGGAGCA